TGTTTAATAGTCTATTCCTCTTTGGTGATCTTGAACCCAAATTTTTATCTTTTCAACCCTGTGTGAGTACCACTTCCCATGTCTAATCTTTCTGCTTGGGCAGATAGGAATTGGCAAAGCATCATTCATCAGTTCAGAGTGCAAGGATCATCTCCGGGAACTTCTCTTTCTTCTAGGATCCCTCCACAACCTGGTGCTTGTTGCCAGGATCCCTTTCCGATGCTCCCAGATAGAAACTTTTCAATTCCATCTGTACTTGCCAGCTGTTCTTAGTAGGACAGTTGGTCAGATGCAGAACTTCAGTCTTTGTATTTTTCAATGATGATCTACAAGGTCCTTCATCACAGCAGTTTTCCAAGAGGACCTCATTATTCCTACCAGCATCCAAACAAGCAGGCCAGTAGATGGATATGTGCATTTACAGTTCTACAAAGAGAGAAATAACTGTGTAAATGCCATGTACAAAATTCAAGAAGATTGCCTCTGACTTTTGTTATAAGAAACATTGTTTCAATAGGATGCAATTTAAGGAAAGCAATGAGCCATGGTCAAAAACTCTGGGTTTCAAAACCCACCCACTGCCACTGAGTTGATTCTGACTCAGAGTGAACCCCATTGGGTTAAGGAGGTGGTGAATCTTTATGGAAGTAGTTGTGCAATCTTCCTTCCATGGAGTGGCTGGTGGGTTTGCACCACCAGCCTCTGGTTAGTAGTCAAATGCCTTAGGCACTGGACCACCAGAACTCCTTTGCTTTGAAAACATACAGCTGTTTATTTTGGTTTGCTTGTTTGTTTGAGCATATATGTAATACAGCAAAGGAAATTCAGAGTATAGAGAAATGTTAAAGGAATTAAAAATCATCAGTTCTTCCCATTTAGAGACACCCCTCATACTTTTACCTTTTTTGTTTAATTACAGGCAGTCATTTTTCCATTGAGGTTTTGCTGGTGGATTTGTTATACACAGATATAGTTACACAATATCTAGCATTCTGTGGCTTGTTTCCCACTTGGAGTCTAATGTGAATATTGTGTGTGTGTGTGTGTGTGATTTGGGTGAATATTTACAGAGCAAATTCATTTTTCATACAGCAGTTCATATACACCTTGTGTAGTGACACTGACTGCAATTTCCCACAATGCAACAGCTCACTTCCCATCACCTCCCCATAGTCACCTCCTCCCTGGCCTCCAAGCTATCTCCCTGTGTATACACAGTCCTTCTATTCTCCCATGATTGATCTCTCCAAGGAGTGTATCTACCTAATGGAAATGTTCAGCTCATATGTGTGGCTTTTATTTGTCTGGAAGCCAGAGGAGTGGGTTCAGTTTCAGACCTGTAGGGCAGCTAGAGGCCATAGTCTCAAGGGTTCCACCAGGCTCTATCAGACCAGCAAACTTGGTCCATTTTTGTTTGTTTGTTTGATTTTGAGTGTTGTTCCACATTGTTCTCCCATTCTATCTGGGATCTCCAACAGCGATCCCCCTCCAAGTGGTTGACTGTGGTAGCTGGGCACCATTTAGTTCTTCTGGTCTCATAGTCATTTAGGTTGACAATCACACAGTGTACCAGTTTCCTGGACCAATTGTTTCCCTGCATCTAGGATTTCTATTGTTCTTCTTTGCTCTGGACCAGGAGGTCCAGATGGCTGCTTGCAAGCATTTAAGATCCCAGTGACTACTCATCAAAGTAGGATGTGGAACAATGTTTTTGTGTAGTATGTTATGCCAATTGAGCTTGATGTCTCTTGTAACCATGGAACTGAGCCCACAGGTCCTATTGGATCCCTCCATGTAGCTGGCCACGGCCAAGAAGTGACTACAAACTTATCTCTTGTCAGTTCCACTATATACCTGGGAATTCTTACAGAACATACAAATACACTTGTAGAAACATTGCCAACCCTAATCGTTCAGCCTGTCCACCCATCTATCCACCCGTATATCAAGGTTTGCCATCACTGAAAACACAGTTCTGTATGATTAAAATGGTTCATCTTTGTTGTCTGTACCTCCCATGCACCTGTCTATGTCTTCCTCTTCCTCAATGTCACCATGTTGATCACTCACATTTGGTACATTGCCCTTCCCTTCACCCACATCAATACTTGTCTCCACTTATCTTACAGTGTTCCCTTCCTTCCCCTCCTATGCCTGGTAACCAACAAAGAAATTTTCCTTCCATATTGAAACCTTTGTTGACCTTTACAGTAATGAACTAATCCAATATTTGTCCTCTGTGATTGACTTACTTCTCTCAGCATAATGTCCTCCAAGGTCATCCATGGTATGTAGTGTTTTGCAGATTCCACGTTATTCTTTAGGGTCACATAGTATTTCACTGTGTGTGTGTACCATAGTTTGCTTATCCATTCTTCAGTTGATGGGCACCTAGGTTGTTTCCATCTTTTTGCTATTGTAAATAGTGATGCGATGAACATGGGTGTTCATGTACCTGTTCTTGTCCTGGCTCTCACTATTTCATTGGTCTATCTGTCTGTCAGGAGCTCTGGTAGTGTAGTTTTCCTTTAGAATGATATCTTTGCCTGGTTTTGGTATCAAGGTTATGCTTGCTTTGTCAAATTAATTTAGGAGGATTCCATCATTTTCTATGTTCTGGAATAGTTTGAGTAGGATTGGTGGCAGTTCTTCTCTGAACGTTCGGTAGAATTCTCTGGTGAAACCGTCTAGGCCAGGACATTTTTTTGTTGGTAATTTTTTTATGACCTGTTCAGGTTCTTCTTTTGTTATGAGTCTGTTCAACTTTTCCATGTCAGTCTGTGTTAATTTAGATTAGTAGTGTGTTTCTAGCTATCTGTCCATTTCTTCTAGGTTTTCAAATTTGTTGTAGTACAGTTCTTTGTAGAATACTGATAGTATCTTTTTCATTTCAGTTGGTTCTGTTGTGATGTCCCCCAACTCATTTCTTATTCGTGTTATTTGTATTCTCTCCCACTTTCCTTTTGTTAAATTTACCAGTGGTTTGTCAATTTTATTAATCTTTTCAAAAAACAACTTCTAGTGTTGTTCATTTTTTCTATTGTCTTTCTATTTTCTGTTTCATTGAGTTCCACTCAAATCTTTATTATTTCCCTCTTCTGGTGACTGTAGGCTTTACTTGCTGTTCTTTTTCTAATTGCTAGAGATGTTTATTTAAGGTGTTGATTTTGGCTCCTTCTTCTTTTTTGATTTGTGCCTTTATTGCTATAAATTAACCTCTGACTGATTTTGCTATATGCCAAACATTTTTGTATGTTGTGTTTTCATTCTCATTTGATTCAAGGAATTTTTTAATTTCATTTTTTATTTCTTCTATATAGCCAGTCATTATTAAGGAAAATGTTCAGTTTCCATGTGTTTGCTCTTATTTTTAATCTTCCTATTGCTGATTTATAATTTTATAGTATTGTGATCTGAGAAGATGCTTTGCAGTATTTCAATTTTTTTAAATGTATTAAGGCTTGTTTTATGATCTAATTTGTGGTCTAGAATATGAACATTTTTCAGTGGTTATGTTACAGTTTAGAGTGGCTACATTATACTCATCAACAGATATGCTTTTCTTTTTCTTATATTAGACTTCAAATAATTTCCAGTTTTCTTGAGGTATAAAATTCTACAAATCCTTTAAGATAACTCAGAGAAATAGAAACAGGAATGCCTTTTTCTTGATTCTAGAATAATAAATGTGACACTGAACTATAACCACGTTTGCAAGTTTATTGTTAGCCCCAACATCCAAGCACAATCCTTCCTATCTTGGGGCCAGTTCTGAGGACCACACACCCTCATCAATGGCCTGAGCCCTACAACCACAGTGTCAGGAGTCATCCTTCTGTCCATAGATAAAGTTAATGATGAAGGAAGAAAATCTCCCTCATCAGAGCTGTGTTCACTCTGGAAGCTAGTCCTGAGCACCTCATGTGTAGGCAGGAGGAATTGAAGGTAGATGAGGCTTGGTCACTACCTTGGAGGGCTCCCATGTCCACAGATGGAGAGGAGGAGTGGTCATACGAGGTGGCAGGAAGGGAATACTCAAGAGAGAGAAAAGGGAGAGAAATGGTAGGCTCAGATCTGAGTTGGGTGGGGTAATGGAGAGGAAGAATATCAGCAAAGCCCAGAGCTGTGTGATCTCCTCAGTTGGCCTCAGGGGAGTGCCCAGGCCTGGAAAACAAGATGGGAGGAGACAATAGTTGGCAGAGGATTCAGTTTCTACACTTCCTGATGTCATGTGACCCATGGGTCATTTCAGAAGACCTTCCCTTGAGGCCTGAAAGCCGGCCGCAGCTCTAGTCAGAATAGCTCCACAGTCTGGTCCTTCTCCCTACCCTGACCAAGGTTGAGAGGGCTCTGGAAGTGGGGTCACCAGGGCTGCCTGTATTATGAAGCCTGCAAGCAGAGTGGAACTCCCGCCTCATGAGAGCACAGTTAGACCTCAGCCTACAGGCCTCAGAACCATATATGCCCTTAGGGAATCTGGGGCTCGCTGACTTGCAGACTTGACTAGTGGAAGTTTGCTGAGGGTCCTCTGTTTCTGAGCCTCAGCTGAAAACACTGGCTACAGGAAAGGATGAGGGACCCCACGACCAAGCACTGTGTGTTTATTCGGTTGCAGTTGTATTGCTGACTGTAGATTGTGGGTCATTTTACACAGGGTGTGAGATATGCACAGCCCCATGTACAGCCAGACCTGAGGTTTGTGCATTTACTTCAACCATTCCAGGAGATGACACAGAAGGCTGGGTTCATGGCTACCACCTCCCAATGATGTCCTGACCTGTAGGAGACAAGGGGGAACTGAGGAAGGAGACTTTATTCTCAGTGGCACACAAGGACTGTTGCAAGTGTTGTCTGATATTTGAGGACAGAGGAAGGTGTGAGCATTCATACATGCTGTTTGTATAAAAATTGAAGTTCCAACATAGCAGAAGCCATTTGTACCTCAAGGCATCCCTACTGTGCTGGGTCTGGATCCCACCTGCACTTATCTCTGCACCTAGGAAGACATGGTTCCCACACATCTGCCCACGACTCACTGGTCAGAAAAAGATCCTCCAGATTCATGGAGAATCAGTGACATCACCCACAGAGCAGGTCTGGTACAAGACCAGGTGAGCATGCTCAGAAGGATCTATGACTGTGTCTCCCATTCCCATACTCAATCCACCAAGAAAATGAGCAAACCCTACAGGAAACCGCAAAGGGCTTCCCTTTAAAAATTGACTGATGGCTTCTGTGCTGGGGTCTTGCAGGTATTTTGATGTACTTGAAGCATTTCTGTTGGTTTCCTCTGGGAACCAACACAGGTCACACAGGAGTCTCAAAGCCAGTAGTGTCAAAACAAGGAACATGTACCATGAAAACAATGGCAGCTGCTGCTGTGACACCAACCAGGAAGGGAAGTTTTGAGGCCTCTGTTGAGACAACACACAACACAGAGGGATATAAAAACCCTGGAGACCGAGAGCTCTTCACTCACTCACTCACTCACTCACACCCTCCTCCTCTACAACTTCACCTCTTCCACCCCACCCACACCATGGCTGCTTCCAACATGTCTGTCTGCTCTAATGATGTAAGCTATGGCAGCCGTTTCTGCCTGCCTGGGTCCTGTGAGTCTTGCACCGACTCCTCCTGGGAGGTGGACAACTGCCCAGAGAGCTGCTGCGAGCCACCCTGCTGTGCCCCCACCTGCTGCCAGTCCACCTGCTGTGCCCCCACCTGCTGTGCCCCAGCCTCCTGCCAGACCCTCATCTGCACCCCCCTGAGCTGTGTGTCCAGCCCCTGCTGCCAGGCAACCTGTGGGTCCAGCTCCTGCCAATCAGTCTGCACTAGCTCCTGTGAGCCTTCCTGCTGCCAGCAGTCTAGCTGCCAGCCTGCATGCTGCACACTCTCCCCCTGCCAGCAGGCCTGCTGTGTGCCTGTCTGTTGCAAGCCCATCTGCTGTACGCCTGTCTGCTGTAAGCCTGTATGCTGCAAGCCTGTCTGCTGTGAGCCTGTCTGCTGTAAGCCTATCTGCTGTAAGCCCATCTGCTGTGAGCCCGTCTGCTGCAAGCCTGTCTGCTGTGTGCCTGTCTGCTGTGGGCCTAGCCCCTGCCCAGCCCCCTCATGCTGCCAGCCCTCTACCTGTACAACCTCCTGCTGTAAACCCTCCTCTTGTGTGTCCCTCATCTGCCAACCTGTGTGCAAGCCTGCCTGCTGTGTGTCCTCCTCCTCCTGCTGTGCCCCTGCCTCCTCTAGTGTGTCCCTGCTCTGCCGCCCTTTGTGCAAGCCTGCCTGCTGTGGCTCTTCCTCAGGCCAGAATTCCTGCTGCTGAATGGGCACCAACCCTCCAGAGCCACTCTGGCTTTCTCCTGACACCTTTGGAGCCAGAGCCCAATCTGGAGTCTCCTCTTGCCCCCAGAATGACTCTACCCTCCAACTGGCTGTGCTGAGTCCTTAGGCTCCTAGGTGGATTCCCTCTCCTTCTGTCATTCATTCAGTGACCTCTTCTCAATCCTGGCTCAGTGTTCCACATGAGTGACCTGTCCGCCAGCAAATAAAGGCATTGTCTCTCCCTCTCAGAAGGCCTCCTGTGCATATCTGGAAAATCATGTGGTGGGGCATGAATGCAACTTTGAGACTGGGGCTGTTTTGGGACCCTGAGCTTCTTACAGGGGGCATAGTCATCTGGCAGGGATGACCAGTTCTATCTCATTGTCAAGGTCAACTTCTTGGGAATTTCAAGGAAAAACCTTCCCACTGACAGGCAGGCACGGAGAGAGGGGGTTGGCCCTGATCCCGAGGGGATGGGGCTCTGCCTAGGACACTGGTGGTCCCTAGTCGGAAGGGGTATTTTTGTCAATGCTGGAGGTAGTAAACTTCAAATGACCCACAGTCACAACACAGACAAACTGCTTGGTGACATAATAATGACAAGACCATAAGTCAGAAGGAACAAATATCTTGCAGGAGAGGGTCTCTCTGGGCCCTAGTGCTGCTCAGATCTCCAGGGTGAGAAATCATGGCTCCCCAAGACATGGAGATCTCAAGCATGGCACCATCCTGTGCCTGGTTCTCAGGACTTGCCCAGGCCTGAAACCAAGCTGCCATTCTGTGTGAATGCTTGCATCTACCGGCCCAGACTTGGGACACCTGATCCACTCTCACTCTTGATCCGCCCCACCTTCCTCACCACTTTCTTCTCTCCCTCTGCCCCCTCTCTTTTTCCACCCTCCACCCAGCCCAGGCCCCCTGTCTCCTGACTTCTCCCATCCCCATTCTGCCTCCTCCCTCTCAGCTGAATCCTCTGCACATAGGTCTAATTGAGCTTGGCTGGACTTTCAAAATTGATGAACTGATTAAAACATATTGGGGTATGAAGGCTTTTTTTGATTGCCCAGGCCCCTTCTCCATCTTTTGTCCCCTTGGTAACCCCTTCCCACCAGGCTGTGGTCTTTGCCCTCCTGGTTCCCAGGCTGTATCCCTCTGTAGGCCGTGTTGGAGGCCTGTCATGGGTTCCAGAGACCTACTGTTTCTAGGGGAGAGAGCCACTCATGTGGCCCCAAGGCACTTTCAAACTGTACATATTTTGTTGGGGAAGCTCTGATGGCATAGTACCTAAGGCACTTGACTGCTAACCAGAAGTCTGGCAGTTCAAACCCACCAGCCACTCCTTGGAAGGAAGGTTGACCAATGTACTTCCCTAGCGATACCACCTCAGAAACACGAAGAGGGGTCACTATGAGTTGGATCTGACTCGACGGCAGTGAGTTTTTTTATATTTGTTGTGAGCTACCCTGGAGCTGACTCCAGGTGACCTTGTGCACGACAGAGCCAAACATTGCCTAGTCCTTCATCCTGTTCACTATTGCCAGCAGGTTCTCTTTCGTCTGCTTCTGGATGTCTCATGGAATACATGTTAACCTTCACTCTAGCCTATCATGGCTTTGATTTCTTGTCTCGTTGTGCTTTATTCGGCCTAATTTCCTCTGACCTTTCAGTTCACCAATTCTCTCTACTGTTTTAGCTAAACCCTCAGTTTAATTTTAGTTACTTTATTTTTCATTTCCAATAGTTCTGTTTGTATCATTTGTTCCAATCTGCTAGGTCACTTTGTAGAGGTTCTTATTCTTTGAAAATGTTTTAAAACCAATCTTTACTTTCTTGAAGTAATCATGTATAAGTGTTCATACGTGTGTGTGACAATTCTAATACTTGAAGTCTCTATGCTTTCATTTCATTTGTTTTTTCAATTTCTACTGGTTCTTATTCAGGACACCTTGTGTCCTTAGTTATTTTGCACTAAATAATGGTCTCTGGGAGTCCCTGAGTGGCACAAATGATTAAGTACTTGGTTACTAACAAAAGGCTGGCAGTGGAGTCCATCCAAAAGTGCCTCAGAAGAAAGACTTGGCAATCTACTTTCAAAAGATCAGACACACTGAATGCAGATTTTTTTTGTCAGTTTAATGATTGTCATCTTTGAAAAAGCATTTATGTGTATTGTGTGTGTGATTTGTGTGAAAAGCAAATTCACGTTCCATATACCAGTTCATAGACAATTTGATTCATGACATTGACTGCAACTGCCCACAGTGTAACAGCTCTCTTCTTCCTTCCTCCCTGTAGTTACCTGTTCCCTGTGTCCTTCCTTCCTATGCATTCCTGCTCCCTGCACCATCTCCCTGTGCAAATACTGCCCTTCTGTTGTCCCATGATTGATATTTCTAAGGAGTGTATCTACCTGGTGTAAACATTCACCCTACATGGCTATGTGTTGTTTGGCTGGAAGCCAGGGTAGTGAGTTCAAGTCCAGCCCTGAAGGGTAACCAGGGGCCATAGTCTTGGGGTCTTACCAGGCTCTATCTGACTAAAACATAGGTCTTTTTTTTTTTTTAAATGATTTTGAGTTTTGTTCCATATTGTTTTCTCTCTCTATCCAGGATCTCCTGCACTGATTCCATTCTAAGTGATTGACAGTAATAGTCTGGCACTACCTAGTTCTTCTGGTCTCATGGTCATACAGGCTGAGGTTTGCATGGTACTCTAGTCCCTTGGACTAGTTGTTTACATGGATCTTTGGTTTTCTTCATCCTTCTTTGCTGTAGATAAGGAGAGACTCATTGTTGCATCTAGATAGCTACTTGCCAGCTTTTAAGACCCCAGTTGTTACTTACTAAAGTAGGATGTAGAAAAGTGTTTTTGTGTAGTACGTTATGCCACTCCTTGATGGAAGATGAGGTGATCTACTTCTATAAAGATTTACTGCCTCAGAAACCCAATAGTGGTCTCTATGAGACAGAATGGACTCAATGCAGTGAGTTTTGCTTTACTTCTTTTCTTCTTGCTTAATCATGACATTAGTTAGCATCTTTTTGTTTTTTATTTTATTTACCATTTTAAGAACTATTTTTTGGGGACTTCCAGTAAGATGGAGGAATAGGCAGACAAGCGACACAGACCCTCTTCAACAAAGAAAAGAAAAGCCAATTGACAGAGACACAGAAGATAATCCTGGAGCCCTGAGCTTTGAAAGGAACTATACAGAAGTGGATTAGGCACCAACTAGTGGAAAAACCTGAACGAAAACAGTGAGTAACAGAGGCAGTTGGAGCTGCGGACTGTCAGCTACTCTGACGAGACCAACAGCCTGAATATTTCCAAGTGGTGATGGGATCTGAGAATTGACCTGAGGATCAGTCCTGGTCACCAAGGGCTGCAGGGACAACTGCTCTGGTGGCCTATGACTAGGAAGGAAAACAACAAGGAGGGAAACAACCTGAGCTGTGGACTTTCTGCTGTCCTGAGGGCACAGCCATTTTGATTGTTTAAAGCAGCAGCCATTTTGGATATTTAAAGTGACCAAGGGTGCAGCCATTTTGAATGTTTACAAGTGGCAACCACTTTGGATTTTAAAGGGATAGCATTCTCATTCGGATTCCAGAGACCTAAGAATAGGCTCTGTTTGCCAGGGTTGGCAAGGACATATGAGAGGCCAACAAAGGAAAGGAGACAGGTGGTGAGTGTATAAATGCTGTCAACTAGTGAATAGAGGAGCACAGCATAGTATGCTGCCTGTATAGATAACATACAAACAAAGCAAAGAAAATGAAAATTGTGGGCAAGTCACTCCAACATATACCAATTAAATATAAACACAAAAACATCACAATGCCTTGAAGACAACAGAGCATCACAGTCCACACAAAGAAGCAAGGTAAAGCAGGAGAAACAAGGGACCAGGATACAAACCCAAAACACATCCCTGTGGAAGACATAGCATTAGAACTCCCTGATAAGGAATTCAAAAGAATTATATTTAGGTATCTTCAAAGGATTGAGACCAAGGAAAATACAAACAAAACCCTAGAAGAATTTTGGAAGAAAATACAAGAACAAAATGAAAAAAATCAATGAAAAATTAGAAATGATTCTAAATCTACAGATAGAAATCCAGAAGATTAATACTAAATTGTCAGAAATAGATAACACATTGAAAAGGCAAAGGAGTAAAATTGATGCAATGGAAGACAGAATTAATGAGATTGAAGACAAATACCTGAATATTTCTTTGGAAAGGGATCAATCAGAAAAAAGATCAAAACAAAATGAAGAAAGCCTAAGTTTCATGTGGGATACCATCAAAAGGAATAACCTACGTGTCATTGGAATTCCAGAACAGGAAGAGAAAAATGAAACTACTGAGAAAATTATCCAAGATTTGTTGGAGGAGCTCTTCCCTGATATGATGAAAGATGAGAATACATCCATTCAGGAAGTCCAACGAACACCAAACAGGATAGATTCTCCAAAGAAAAACACGAAGATATATCATCATCAAACTCACCAAAACCAAAGACAAAAAAGGAATCATGAGAGCAGCATGGGAAATACAAAAAGTTACCTACAAGGGACAACCAATAAGACTAAGCTTGGATTTCTCGACAGAAACCATGCAGGCGAGAAGACAATGGGATGGTATATATAGCACAATGAAAGAGAAAAATTTCCAACCAAGAATTATGTACCCAGCAAAATTGTCCCTCAAATATGATGGTAAAATTAGGACATTTTCAGATAAGCAGAAATTAAGGGAATTTGTTAAAACCAGACCAACCTTACAAGAGATGCTAAAGGGAGCTCTTTGGACAGAGAAGCAACAACAGCCAACAACAACTGACCATTAACACACATGATGACATAACCCAGAAACCAACACAGCTATGGAAATATGCAAAGTATATAAGCCTACAAGATTGTAAATAGGAAATCAGAGACACCAATCAACCGACAAATGAGGACAACCACAAACCAAAAAGAGGGATAAAAATCTGT